GCTGCCAGGTGGAAATAATCACAGCCACAGGCGGAATTTTAGTCATCTTGTGTCAAGTACATGATTCTTCTTCAAAGGTCAGTGAACCTGCATGCCAGGCATTGCACTGGAAATAACAAGCGCCACCATCACTAGATGCAAGCAGTTGTTTTCAGCAACTCTCCACGCAATACTGGCAGCCAGAATGGGGGAAAACAGGCTTAAAATGGTAGATCATGGAGGAAGAGGTGCGACTAGAAGGAAAACATGAATGTAAGAAACAGGATGCAAAGAACACAAAGTGAGGGAATCGTAATTACATCCCTTTACTCCTTTCCCCTTCCTACATTATGCGAATGTGTGATGGGGTTGTCTTTTTAGTGTAATAGCCAGTCATGTTACTCTGTCCACTTCCCCCAACGAAATTAAGATCGGAAATGTGCAGTTCCTTGTCTTACATGTCCACTAATGTAGCACAAGTTACCAAAACCATACATACACGTCCAAGCACTTCTAAAAATCAGCTGGCTACCTTTTTCCTCGGCTCTTATGTCAAGCAGCCTGCTTGTTAGGCTAAAGCACTTAACTGAGATTCAGAGGGGATAGACAAGTTAGTCTAACAGGAAAAACTAAAAAAACAAATAAATAGGCTACGTCTAGACTGGCCCCTTCTCCAGAAGATGCATGCAAAGCAGGCAAGTCAGAATAGGGAAATCCGCAGGGGATTTACATATCCCCCGTGGGATTTAAATAAACATGGCCACCGCTTTTTTTCCAGCTTGGGGAAAAGCCGGAAAAGAGCGTCTAGACTGACGCGATCCTCCGGAATAAAGCCCTTTTCCGGAGGAGCTCTTATTCCTATTTGCAAGTAGGAATAAGAATCCTCCGGAAAAGGGCTTTATTCTGGAGGATCGCGCCAGTCTAGACGCTCTTTTCCGGCTTTTCCCCAAGCTGGAAAAAAAGCGGTGGCCATGTTTAATGTCTCTTCCGGAGAACGGGCCAGTCTAGACGTAGCCATAGTCTAGTAGCATTTTAAGTGCTACTAGACTATTTAAGTTTTTAAACTGAGATTAATGAGCTCTTATAAACAAGGCTTTCTGGTTATTCTTAGATGAAAAACAGCAAAAACACACATACTTTCTATGACTGTTTCATGCAAACTGCGGTTATGAAGCTGCGATTTAATTTCCAGCCCTGGTTTGGCCCACTATGGTCATCCATATGTTCTTGAAAGAATTAAGTAGCTTCTAGAGAAGTGCATTTCCTCAGGAGTCAGCACGTTATATAATGCAAAATGTTAAAGCCTAAACGAAAATGCACCTGCTGGCCCTACAGCATCTTCGAGTGATTTACAAATGCTCCGTTTATTGCTCCTGGGTGTACAAACCAGAGAATGGGTTATTTGTTTTAGCCACAGATTGAAGATCACTTGATTAATAAAAACCAGAGTGAAGGGAGAAAGTACATAGTCATAATTTTCTTTCTTATGAGGGAAGTAGATAATCCCCTATTGCAGTCAACAAAAAAAATAGATTGTCTTGATTTAAGATTTTTACAGTGGTTCTTGTTCTACACTGGAAGTGTCTGGGAGATTTTCTTAGTGGTTTATGGATGAGCAACTTTCTCTCCCAATGGAATCTTCTACCAGATGATTTTTTTAAAAGTATTATATAAGCTCATACTTGCACTTATGTAAAAGTAACACCGACTCCCTTTTAACAATTTATGATATTCTTTTATTCTGACCATACTAGCTTCTCTTTTCATAGAGATTCAGATCTACATGCACCTAATACATACACCCATGTAATTTGCAAGTAGCCTGTGTATTACAAACAAGGTCCTTGCATTTCCTAGCACGGATAGGTGAACTATCAATTACTTCCTTTGCAAGGCTTTGAAAGTAAAAGCAAAATAAGTATATTTAAACAGAAATTTTCTTCACAATTTTTAACAGGCTCCATTTCAACATCCTCCACTACTAAAAGACACTCACTTCCTTTGACTGCACAACTCATTGCACCAGTTTTCATGAACAGCTTTTAAGCCCTTGCTTTAATTTAGCCCTGAACATTCTTGCTGTAAATGTGAAGTCCAGATTACAGTATCTGTTACTTAATTGCTAATTTTTTTATATAATATCTAACCCCCCACTCTCCATGCAAACACACGCCATTTAACTGGGGATGTATTTTGCTCAGCAGAGGTAAATGTGTCTGAGTGACAACCCATCGACATCCAAAGGGTTCTTATGCTTCAAAGCAGAGAGGTGCTTCTCACAGCTAGTGGAAAAAGGACAGTAAGGTGAACATTTGAGCTAGTTCTAGTGCTGAGAAACTCCTCTCTAGACACCGCACTTTTTCAGCACAGCTAGTATGCTCCACTTTCCTATTCAAGCCAATGGACAGTCCACTGCTGCTGAGGCAGTGAGAGACAAAAACCTCAGAAGCTTTAATATGGTGGCAGAAAGGAAGTGATTTACATTTTCGATTGTTTGGGCCTGCCTATCATGCCTCAAAGCTGGATCTGCTTAAGCTTTCATCATCCCACAGCCATGAATGTAATAATGAATGCATACAACAATTGTGTAGTATTTATTGAGAAACTTTAGGTGACACTAATGGGCTAGTCTGAGCACATCTGCCACAGAAGCACAATTCTCTCTCTCACCTCTTAATGGAGCTGCACAGTATGTTATACAGGTAGGAAGGGGGTTTCAAAATACTGTAAATTTGGGGGAAACTAGGAATTCTCAATTATGGTATTTTCACACTTTGCATCACAGGAAGAAATCCAACTACCAACTACGTGGAATTTGAAATGAACATGTCTGCAAACATGGCCTCGCAACCAGCAAGTAGCAGCCCTGTGAGTCCACATTTTGACACTATAAAGACTTCTCATGACCAGTCCAGGGGTCTCATTTTCAGCACAATGCATATTATAGACTAAATACACACATGAAATAAGGTAGCATCCCACTGTATAGCTGTAAGTTCCAAAAGCAGACTAAGTGGAGGCTTGTGTACCACAGCCAAGTTTTGTGATCGTTTGAAGTGACAGTCACAATGAAAGGTACAAAAGCATAAGGCTTTACCCTCATCATTTCCAACTGCTGGTCAGTGTGCTCCTCCAGCACAGCTTTGTGAACAGAAACAGTTGTGTAGCCAAGTCACTGACTGGTGGTGGGAAATATAAATAGTAATCAAGAGTCAATGGCCTCAGAAACTGATCCTCAGAAACTGACATCCTCTGTTTGGCCACAGACTTGTTACATCGCATGTCTACAATACAAGAGTCCACTGCTCCATCCTTCCAGGGCAGCTAAGAGGCTGGTCACTTGGAGAAGATAGTTAACTGACTAGGCTAGGCTATAGAGAATTCTCAGCCTCTCTACTGAGCAAGCCAACTTTGTGGATGAGGGCTATGAGCCTTTGCAGATGCTTGAAGGTGTATGTGGGGGCGGAGGAACCACACACACCCTGACCCCATTTTAACATTACAAGACACCCAGGCAGCTATTGCACAGATGCAGTAACTAGCAGCTGCCAAGACTGCTCTCTTCTCTTCCAGGTTATTTGGGCTAAGAGGACACAGCTGTGTTTCTGACCAGCCAGCTGGACTTAGTTATCCTGATCATAGGACAGCGGAGACTGACTTCCTCTCAGGAGAGCAAAAATACCCATTTCAGGATGTGGAGGGAAAATGCTTAGCAAGAGTATGCTGCTCAGGAAGGTACAGACTTAGTTTCTCTTTTAAAGCAGTTTCTTGCTTTACCTAATTTGTAGCAGTATGAGGAAGACCTGACTGTGTTATTAACTATACACAAAGCTGAGCCTCTCTGGGATGAATTTCCTATGGGGTCTGGTTAGAATGAGATTGAGAACATCAAATCATTTCCCAGAGACGAATAAATAGCTATTAGAAAACAGTATCTGGTCACTACCATCCTGGCTTGCATTCATGAAATCATCTAGAGGTAAAACAGCCCCACCACACCCTACGAGCAAACTCTGCAGATAGTGAGTTTCCATAATGGAGCAAAACTGAAAGAACTTTATACAAAAAGTAATTTGCTTGGTCACTTCCGCTATCCTCTTCACTGCTGCTGTTTAATGCAACCACAAATATCTGAAGCTTCCCTTTCATCCCAGCTTCCCTTTCCACTTGGTGCAAGCAATGAAGTTCTGATTCTACATTTGTGACATCACATTCTGTTGCTAGAGAAGTGAATAGAATCGCTTGTGTATATCAGTGAGACTTCACTGCAGGATCAAGTCAGGAGAGAAAACTGGCTTGGAAAGGAGCAGAGCCCTCATTTAAGCCAGTGAGCTGCAAGAAGCTGCAAAGGCAGAAGGAAAAAAAATAAATCCTGGAAGGTAAAACTGGTTTATGCTTTACTTTTAAACAGATTAAAGAGTCTTTAAAGTGACTCACTTGGGCAATACTAGGTATAGTTTATTCTGTCAGCACACCCTTGGCAGCAGAAGCTCAATTAGTCATTGACTAGGTACCAAGATGTTACTGACTGGCTGAAAAGTTTCTCCAGCTAGTGTGATTTAAACAAAACTCCAAATTACTTGCTTTTTGGAAGGGATGGGTGAAGAGAAGGGAAGGCAGGTCTCTTTCAGAGACATGCTATTGCATTTTCAGTTCTCAGGAAGATTTTATGGGCGTTTCCTATCACTGCAGCCCTAGCTCAGGTCATGATATATACAGTTCACTGGGTCCTTATTGCTTAATGGCCTAGAAACAAAGTCTTTCAGTGTTTTGCCACTGAGAGGCTGCTAATTTTTTTTTAAAAAAGAAGTATAGACACAGAGCATCTAGAATGCACATGAATCAATGGAAACTCATTAAACTTAATACAATTGACTTATTTTAGAAAAGATACTATGCTCTCTCTCAGCTTGAGTTTTCAGGGAAAGAAACAAGTTGTAAGCAAACTCTAATGATTTAACTAACTCAAGTCCATGAATTTGTCAGGTGCTGCTCCTGGGATGCAAACATCTCTCTCCTACCATGTTGATGGAAGCTAGGTGCAGTCCCCAGTATCCAGCATTGCCTCTTCATGGGGCAGGATGGAGTACATATAGTGATGTCCGAAAAGCAGGTTAGCCGCTGTCACACGCACAGTGGAGTCTTTAACAGCACAATGTGCGTTAGTCAGTGGCTCACCTGCTTCTGGAGGATTAACCCAATGCAGACAGATGCATGCTTTCAGGAAGTCAGCAACAACCCCTCCCACCACACCGACCTGAAATACACAAAGAAATAAGATCAACAGTCAGGAAGAAACAAGCTACCATTATGCATTGAGACCTGGGTACTCTATGTATGACCTTCCCCATCCTAGTCCTTAGAAAGCTTGCTTGCGGTGGTTGGGTAGCTCACAACTTACAATAAGGCTAGTGGCTTGTTTGATTAATTTCCTGCAGAGTGTGTCAGTAACAGCTCACAGTTCCCTGTCCCATTAACTCTGAACTGGTTCCTTTCCCCCTAGTTATTTAACACACAACTTCTGCTCAAAGCTTCACCGCCAATCATTCTATATGTTCCAACTGGGTATCAAGCCAAGGTCCCTGCCCCCAGAGACTTTACAATCCAAGACAATTTTTAAAATGTAAAACAGCCTACTATGTAAAGTCATGGCCCATCAAGTCCATAGTCTATCCAGACCCGTATTGGGTTAAGAGAGGCCACTACAAGTCTTCTGAGGAAGACACAAGAAGCCCTGCTGTCACAGCAAAATCCAGCTTAAGCACCCTCCCTTGTCTGAATTGAAAACTTTCCTCTGCCAGCCTTAGTTTAACCTTTAAAAAAAAAGCCACCGAGAGGAGCGTTTGCTCACTGTCAGGCTTCACTAGATTCTGCACTTTTCTTTGCGAGTGGCATTGTAATTGATTTGGGGAGGGGGGGGGGTAGAAAGGGGTGCAGGGTGCCGCTTATTTCAGCGGCAGCGGCACGGGCGCTTCTGCGCTTGACAGCAGCTTTCGCCAGGAACATTCCCACTGAAAAACGGAGCGCGCATCCCCCGGGTTCGCACGGCGCCGCCTGCGCTGCCTCTGCCCGGGGAACCCACATTCGGGGGCGGGGGGCGCAGAAGGCGCTGCCCGTGTTTTAGGGGGCGAGGGTGCAGGGCTGGAAGCAGGCAGGAGAGAGCTGGCCCTGGGGACCAGCCCCTGCCCAGGGGAAGGGCAGGAGGAGAGCGCTGGGCTGGCCAGGTGCAGTGTAGCGCTTCGCCCCCTTCCCCGGCAGTGCACGTCCCCCCGCGGCGGGGGGGGGGGCCAGAAGTTACCCCATTTGGTGAGGGGCGCACCCCAGCCTGGCCC